TGTATAAAATACGGTTTAAAAATTGTTATATTTTATATGTTTTGTTATATTTTATATGTTTTATAATATTTATCCGTTAAATTCTATATTTTGTAAGAGATATTATATTTATTTTCTTCACTTCTATTTTGACGCAAAACTATGGCACTCCGTTTTACTTTTTAATGACATCAAAAAATTAACTCAAAACAAAAATAATCAAAATTAAAAATTGCCTAGAAAATATAAACGTTCATAAAAATTACTAAATTAAATTTAATTATAAATTAAATTCTACCAATTTATATTTGGTGTATTGGATAAGTTTCCATATATATTTACATCATTCTGGTGTGATCTATATTTTTAAGCCTCAGTTTTTATTGTATGAATATTTTTTTCTATTTAAAAAAGGTGCTTAGGTATATGTAAAATAATATTTCATTTATTAATTTAAAATTAAGTTAAAGTAGAATATTTATTTTGGAATAAAAATTAGACAAGATTTAAATCTGTAAGCGCAAGGCGAATTTTCTCGATGAAAAATTCGATGAATTAAAATGTTGGTTAACACTCGTAAACAGAATTTTAATTTGGCGCTAGTGCATAGTGCGGTTGTGTTACGTACTACTGCCACGAAACTACATAACGTCGAAGGTACATAAGCTAGAAAATAAATTAGGCAACAGTGCAGTCCAAAATTTTCAGTGCTATCAATAATGTAATACATTAAATGTATATCGACATGATAATGATTATTAAATTATGTAAGGGGTGCATTTTAACAAGACTGACCTGCTGGCTAACCTCACTTTATACGAAATAATTTTGATTTGGATTTCAGACTCTCCTAATAGACAATTTAATTGTGGTTCATTATTTGCTTAGTTGTCTATGCAATAGGATTTCTCGCAGAAGAAGATATTTATATAATTACCAGAATTGTCCTACTCGTTACGTGTCCGAGCCGACTACCTGTACAGTAATAAGCATAGAAAAAGAATATAAGACGTAATTAAAAATAATCCACAAACTTAACATGAATGTAATTACTGGTGGATTGAAAATATTGTATTTTTTTTAATCTTTTAGTCAATAAAAACCAATATTTTGGTAAAAAGGATTTTCTTTATTTTTATTTGAATGCACCGTTGCCTAATTTATTTACGACCTCATGTACCTTCGCTTGGTGGCAGTAGTACGTAACACAACCGCAATATGCACTAGCGCCAAATTAAAATTCTGTTTATTAGTGCTAACCAACATTTTAATTCATCAAATTTTTCAGTCAGAAAATTCGAGGTACATAATATTTATTCCAAAAAATAAAAATAAGGAATTATTATTCTGTCACATACAAATAGCATTGAATTTATTATCTAAAAAAATAATCTGATTAAAAGAAATATGGCAGAAAGGTGGTTAAATGAAAATTCGTATTGCTAGATTTAAATAACATAATAATTAATAACAACTATACCACAACTTTATTCCCGAATAAAAATTGTTTCAAAGTGTTTTAAACAACAAAATAATTCGTATTAAAAGTAAATATTAAAATTTTTAAAAATAATAATAAAAATAAAATTGTATTCAATTCTTATTAGTCAAATAAAATTTTAAGTAATATTAAAACCATTTAAATATTAAAACAAATATTTCGTGCAAAATATTTGGGTGTCGAATAGGAAACTTTATCACTTTAATTTCTAAAAGGTAAATTGATTTTTATGTCGACGAGTAATAATAGAAATTAATTGCGACATAATGATAATTTCAGTATTACTTTTTCTTAAATAAATGTCGCGCACCTTGAATTAACTGCTAAGAAATTCGATGAATTAAAATTTTGGTTTACATAATTTCAATTTGACTGCGTGTTTCTCAAGTAGCGCCTTATTAAAATTATCTCAATCCAAATTTTAATTCATCGAATTTTTTAGTCAGAAAATAAGTATGCCATTCAGTTCCAGAATTAAAATTACTTTTATTCTTATTCTGTGCTTAAAATTGTGTACTTAATATACCAAGAAATCATAAAATTTTTACTTTAAAATGTTCAGTCAATTTTTAAAAACGCAACTTGAATTACCTAATATTTAGCTTTAATAAACATGACATTAAAAAGTAAAACGGCGTGCCATACAAAACGGCGCCTCATAGTAGATGTACAAGTGCTTTCATATAAATGAATTTAATCGCTGAGATTTTGGAGACATAATTTTTCCTTTAAACACTTTTTTAACAAGTTTTCAAGCTTAAAACGCGCCATTTTTACAATCGCAATACGCAAAGTGTAAAGCTACCTTACAAATTCATTTTTAAATCCTAAATTTAATCTATGCTTTTTTTAATGGTTATGTTTTAAATGCCGTTTAAAATTACTTGTTAATATTGATTTAAAATTACAATATTTGCAAGAATGTATTTTGGAAGTGATGATATTTTTATTGTTTTCGTTCAACAAATGAGAATGTTTTCTTAAAATGTGGTTGTCTAAACTAAATTTTCTGTTACATTGATAATGACAGAAAGAACATTTCAAGTCTTTTATTTTAGTATGAGTTTTAATATGCCTTTTTAAAGTATCTTTTCGAATAGTTCTAAAGTGGCAAATTTGACACTTATACCATTCGACATTTTTCAATTTCAAACAAACTTTAATATGATTATCATAAGCTGTTTTATATGGAGTTGAATATGTACATTTAGTGCACTCATAGATTTTACTTGATATTTTTATTTTATTTTTTCCTACATTTTCTAGTTTATGTTTGCTTAGAATGTGCGAATTTAAAGGCTTTAATTTGGCAGCCATGTGTGGACAGAAATGGCATTTAAAACAATTTTTTTTATCGTGAATTTTTAAATGTTTTTTTAAACTACCTTCGTTTAAAGTTGTAAAATCACATTTATTGCAAATAAATTCGTCTTTTAAATGGAAATTCTTTTTATGACTTAATAAACTCCCCTTTGTTTGAAATTTTTTGAAGCAAAAGTCACATTTAAATAACTTTTCCTTGTCACTCATTTCCCTAAATTGAACCCCATGATATTCCACCTCGATTTTCGTCTCAAACATGGCTTCATCCTCATCTTTTTCTTCATTGTGTGACAAATTTTGATCATCTTCTTCAGAAAAGTCACCGTCCCTTCCTTCTTCCTTAATATTGCAATAGAAATCTTCACTTTCATCTCCAACATCAGAATTGTCACTTTCTTCAGCACTATCGTTGATTTTAGATCTAAAATTATGAATGGGTATTAGGGTGGTACAAAAAATAAAAGTTTTAAATATTTTGTCTCTTTGGAATCGGATAACATTTAAAATCGACCATTACGTATAACGTATAATAGGAGAATTAATTATATGAAACACTAAACTCAAAATATACGACGTATAATAATGGAGGTTTTTGATGGCTTAGTAATATAGTAAGTATGAGTAATTGAGTATGAGTATGAGTAAAGCATGAACACAAAGTTAGGATTTATCTGCCGAAAAATAGCATATAGATTATAAAAATATTTTTGTTTTAAATTTACGTATTGTTTTCGAAGTTTTAAATGATTTAAATTAAATTTAAAAAATTCAAAAACATAATTTTTATTTTTAAAATGCAGGTTTTAGTTAATCATTGCGCGAACTAAAAATAATACTTACTCGCTTTCAACAGGTAAGTCATCCAGGCAATGCTCTATTTCTTCTTTAATTTCTTTATTGATTTGGGATTGTCCGGAATTTCTGGATCCTTCAGAAGAATTACTCAATTTAATACTATCAATGAATACATGTGTATCTGAGGTTCCACAGCTAAAATAATTTTTATTCATATATTATATCACGAGAACTATGAATTTAATCGGGTAAACTAGGCTCAGTAGTTTTTTGTTTGGTTTTTGTTGGAAAATGTTGAATGCAAAATAAAATCACGAGACCGCGTAGCGGTCGAGGGGTTTTATTTTTAATTATTTTGCATAAAACTATTTTCCAAAAAGAAAAATCAAATAAAAAACTTACTGAGCATAGTTTGACAGATTAAATTTATAGGTTGAGTGATATACGTCTAGATTATTTCTCGAATTAAAGGAAACTATTTGACCATTCATAAAATCTGACGTATGTGTCAAAGTTTATAAATATTTTTTTAAAGAAAATTCCATTAATTTAAGGTACTTATGTAATAAGTAATAATTGATATTTCGTAAACTAGATAACTTATTTTTTATTGTTTTTTAAAAAATGTTTGTTAAAACTTGTAAATAACACCATAAAATCGTAAACAAAAATCCAATATGGAGGCTAAAATTTAATCGCTGTTAAAAAGGTCTAGTGATTTAATCGCGTATTTAAACGAAATTTATTCGAAAATTCAAGGCTTTTGATTGGTTCATATTATATTGAGGGAAATAATCAGTATCCCGTACAACATTCATGAGTTCATGAACCACCTCATGTCATGACTTCACGGTTTTGTGCTCGTGTGGAACTCATGATGAGTTCAGAGTCATGATAAGTTCACGGCATGATCCGCCGTGATGTCTTTTGAATATTCGCGCTTCGAAGATCTCCACCGGCTGCGCATATGAATGCGCATCGAACAAGCTGTGTCGTCTTTGCCGGTTGTTTTATTTGTTTAAGTGGTTGTAATATTGTTTCTATTGTTGTAATAATTATTTAAAATAGTTTATAATTATAATATAAATATAATAATATAAGTGCACAGATCGTGTTGGGAAAAAGAAGGTAAGTTTCGTTTTTTTTGTTTAATTTAAACATGTGACATGTCCTCGCTTATTAAATTATTTGACAGTCGGTTTGTTTTCAAATTTACATTTTACTTACTCATGAATTTATTAAGTATTATATTGGTTTTTTGTTTACAAAATATTAAATAATAATTAATAATTTAACCTCAAAATATAACCTAGGTTTTTTTGTAATGTCTGCAAAATTGAAACGTGACATAAGAACTTTAATTAAATTGATGTGAAATGTTTATCTGGGTTTATAATTTATGTGCGTGATTAATATATATATATATATAGGCATTAAATGCAAATTTTGACAATTAACGGCAAGAATCTTATTGAATAATGATTAGGAATGTTGAAGAGGGATTATTACAGTTGGAAAAAAAAATCACTGAACTGGAAAATCTATTGAAAAAGAGAAAACCCTCCAACTCAGTGACCAAGGCAATAAATGGCTTTCCTTTAACAACTGTTGAGGAGTTTGAGGACATGGAAAAGGATGATAAAGTTGAGAATTGTTTAGAAATGGTAAGAATTTTTGTAATGTGGGGAAAATTATATTGACTATTAATTTTAGGCATCACGTTTGACAATACTGGGGGCGGCAGACTTAAGATCATTTGTCGCCCTTGCCATAAAAGAAATCATGGTGGATGCGCTTGTAGTAAAATTTTCTTGGTGTGGGCTGAGAGGAAATAAAATGTTTAATAGAACAAAATTATGTGCTTTAATCTTTGGTAAATAAATAATATTTAATTTTTTTTATTTGTATTGCCAGCGCAGATATGAGCAAAAACGAAGTTTACGAGTTACTGAAGTAACTCTAGTAAACACCGTTTTTATTTAATCCCGCGGGATGCAGCTTAATTTACAAGCGAGAATTGGTAATTAATTTATAGCATTCCTTTACTTTGTTTTTTTGTGTAGACAAGATAAAAATTGTACTATTTTCTATTTTACAGAAGCTGCCATGGACTGCACAAGATTTAATGGTCCATCAGACATGTCCGAATTTAAGGAACATGTAGACGAGGTATTTAGGACTACTAAACAACGCTACCTTGCGCAACAAAAGAACCAAAGAAAAACCCAAGAGTCACCAGGGACCAATTCAACAGGTGCACAAGAAATGCTTGAAGAAGAGGCTAGTTCCACCGACGAGTCATTTAAAAATAGCGACTTAGATGAGAGTTGTGAAGATTCTTCCACATTTGGAGAATCACAATAAATTAACATATAATTTTTTAAAGGTGATAAAATTTAAAATCAAAAAATATCTTTTTATGTTACTTAAATAGTTTCTAAAAATTCCAATCGGATTTATACATTTGTTTATTTCTTGATAAATTATTTTAAATTTCTTGACAGATTTTCATTAATTTTGAGATAAAAATATACCTATTTATAACTTTTCAAGAATTACAATAGAATGAAATGTACATGAAAAATTGTTTTATATTCCTCGAGGTAGATCTACAGATTTTTATTAATTTTAATCTGTAGATGTACCTTGAGGAATATAAAACAATTTTTCGTGTACATTTCATTTTATTGTAATTCTTGAAAAGTTATAAATATATTTTTTATCTCAAAATTAATGAAAATCTGTCAAGAAATTTAAAATAATTTATCAAGAAATAAATAAATAAATTCGATTGAAATTTTTAGAAACTATTTAATTGAAATTTTTAGAAACTATTTAAGTAACATAAAAAGATATTTTTTGATTTTAAATTTATTACCTTTAAAAAATTATATGTTAATTTAATTATGTTAACAAAAAAATATTTTATGATTTAAAATGTTGTTGCCTCAAAAAATTTTGTTTAGAAATATATTTTTTTTTATTTCGAAAATCATGTTAATTTTTATTAATAATGGTAAAAAGCAAATTTTGTAAAAAGAAGTGACTTATGTCAATTATTGTTTAAGGTTAAAAAAGTTGTTTATTAATTATTAATTAATAAAAATGTTGCAACTATAAAAACATGCAATTTGTTTTTTTAATTTTCAATTTTTTTAACATTAAACAATAATTGAATCTCGTTTAAAAACGACATAAGTAATTTTTTTTACAAAATTTGCTTTTTAATTTACTAATAAACAAATATAAAAATATGCAATTTGTTTTTAAATTTTTTAACCTTAAACAATAATTGAATCTCTCGTTTCAAAAACGACATAGGTCACTTTTTTACAAAATTCGCTTTTTACCATGAAACACTTCTACATGTTATGCATTCTACATGTAGAAGCTCTTGTGGTAAAAAATGAATTTGACTTGGTCGTTTTAAGAACGAGCGATTCAATTGATTATTGATTTAAAAATTCGCGGGCATTCCTGAATCGTATGCGCATGCGCGCTACCCAATTTTTGGATCCTGACTCATGACATGACCACAACATGAGATCGCTATGAGGACTCATATGTATGCTCAAATGAAGTCATGGCATGACTTATAAATCATGACTTGACGTTCATATGAGTACAATATGAAATCAAAAATGTTGTGCGGGATTAAATAATTTAATCTTTTAAAAAAAATATCTCCTAAACGAATTTTTACTGTATGAAAAATACATTTACAGAAAAATACCATAGATTCAAAACAAGACTATTTAACACACTTTTTAAAAAACTTATTTATAAATTTGGACCATTTTTAGAGTATAAGTTTATACTTTAAATTGATGTATTTTGGTGCTATACAGAGTGTTTTTAAACATTTTCAAATGTCCGAAAAGTAAGGTTTGGTGTAAACATAAACCCATTTTTTTATTGTTGATGAAATGACAATCTTTTTAATAGCATAATATATTTGGCTTTTTGTCTTTAATAAAATGTTGATTGGTAAACGAATTAAAAGCGTGTCTTCCTTGAGAAAAAAAATCAGATGTAGGTAGGTATGTTATTAACGATAAATTTAAATACGTAATAATAAAAAAGAAACAAGATGGGAAATTTTAATTTTTAAAATTGTATACGATATTATTTTCGATAGTCCTAAATTGGTTCCAAATAATTATTTATTATTAATTATTATTTAAATAAATAAAAAAAGGTTTGCACCACATCGTTGAATGAAGGACAGCAGTATATTTTTTTTAATTTAAACATTGAATTTTTTAACTGGTAATAATTAAAAATATTGTTTATTTTTTTTAATGCGGTTTTGATCACAAGCGCCGTTTTGCAGAAATAATTCCATTAATTTTTTATTACTTATAAAAATTTATTTGTTTCTTTTTAATTATGTTTTAGTAATAGGTATATAAAAAACTAGGTAAACCAGGACTTAAACCTCTTTACTTTTAAAAAGAGCGGGAAAATATAGGCAAAAATATGTAACATGGTTTACAAAAAACTTAATACAGTTTGGCTCTGGGGTATACAGATGTATTTTGGGCATGCATTTTAAATCTAAAATATGTACTTACTCGACCCGACAATCGTTTTCCTTTTCTACAACCTTAGTGTCTATAACGTAAATACTATCTTCGGTGACAAAGTCGTCGAATAAATATACCTCGTTCTCGTCCATGATATTGTTTAGGTTCTGTAAAAAAAATATAATATTAAGCCGCTAAATTTAAGCGCCATTTTAAATTACTAAACAAAATATCGTTTACTTTTGCTATAAATTGTTCAAAACCGCTATTATAGCGATTATAAGGTTTAAGTAAGTATGTATATGTATTCTATAGAATACAACAATTTTGGAAAGTTGAGATTGTCCCAGTGAAATTCAACCCTCCAGTATAAATGAAAATATAATACAGTGTGCAAAATTTCTTTTGGATTATGAAAATTTGTCTATTTTTGTCACTCAACTAATTAACATTATAACTTACATAAACCGAATTAATGAAAATTTAATGAAACACACAACCACTGCGTTGGACCATAAGACTAAGAATAAGGGGTCTTTGTTCGTTTACAAGCCCCACATGGCCATCTTAATCGCTTTGGAATGTTGTTTTTCAAAATATTAGGTAATATTTTGGGGATTTTTTTTAAATTTAGTAATGCATCTTATGTATAAAACGGACAAGGTGGGTAAATTTTGAAATATTAGGTAATATTTTTAAGTGTTTTAATTTAGGTAAAGCACCTAGTTATAAAAACGGTATTTAAAATTTATGGACTCTACACTTTTGCACTATTTTATTAAAATTAGTCAGTACGCTAATTAAATTGATCAGATTCGTTATTTTTGCTTAGAAGTTATTTATTTTACGTCATACTTGACAGAAGCAATTACAGGTTTTTGTCAGGAACTAATATACCTAATCGTAGATTAAATCTATGAAGAAAAACTAAACAAATATTAACAATAATGATGAACATTTTTAAGTCTTCTTCAAACACAACACAGATCACAATACTCAGAGAGTACAACTCACTAAATAAATACATATCAATATTTAACAGAAATGCTATGACAGAATATAATTTTAAATTTTAACCATAACTGTCAATCATTGTTTATGGTGCGATTTTAAGAGATAACAATCAATTAAGTAATTAATTGATGTGCACATCCTATTGCCAAACGCATGCGTTAAAATTAAAATCCCAAAATGCATTTCTTTATAAAATGAAACATTGATTTCTAACCAATTTATATAGACTAGAAACATTATAATCTAGGTTATTATTATTTTTAAGTTTAAAAACTTAATATTTACGATCTCATATCTTTTAAAATAATAACGATAGATTTTTTTTACAATTTTCTAGGATTCCTGGGGGTCTGTGGATCTTTTACCTTTAAGGTACGGCGACTTTTGAGACACCCTGTATACATTCGGAAAGGGTTAAATAAAAAACAAATTAGTTTCTAAATAAAGAAATATTTATTAACAAATACACGAACACAACACAAAAACATTATGTAACAAATATTGAAAGCAATAGGTAGCTTTACAAGTTCATGTAAATGATATTAATCGCTGAGATTTTGGAGACATACTTTTTTATTTAAACACTTTTTTCAACACGTTTTCAAGCATAGAATATGAGGCGCTGTTTGCGTCAAATAGAAAATATAGAATTTAACGCAAAATGTATAGAAAACACAAAATAGGTATATAAAATATAACAAAACAAACAAGAAAACTAATAGTGGAAGATTTTTCGCCAATGCGGTAAGTTTTTAAGGTTTTCTTTACATCCTTTTAGTTTTAATTCTTGTGCGTCGAGCGCCCTCAAACGGTCAAGTGAGGAACCCGAGTTTTAATATTTTGTTGGTTTTTCAATGTTTTGTTTGATTTTCTATATTTTGTTGGATTTTATTTGTTTTATTATAGGTTTTGTTTGATTTTTTTTTTGTTACAGGTGTATTTTATGTTTTGTTGGATTTTATTTGTTTTGTTATATTTTATATACCTATTTTGTGTTTTTTATACATTTTCCGTTAAATTCTATATTTTGTGAGAGATATTATATTTATTTTCTGTACTTCTATTTTGACGAAAACGGCGCCTCATATTACAACGCGCCACTTTTACAATCGCAATCGCAATACGCGAAGTGTAAAGCCACCTTACAAATACATTTTTAAGTCCTAAATATAATGTATGCTTTTGTTAATGGTTCATTTTTAAATGATATTTAAAATTATTTGTTATTGTTGATTTATAAGTAGGTACAATATTTGCAAGAATATATTTTGGAAGTGATGATATTTTTATTGTTTTCGTTCAACAAATGAGAATGTATTCTTAAAATGTGGTTGTCTAAATTTTGTTTTCCGTTGCATTGAAAATGACAGAAAGAACATTTCAAGTCTTTTATTTTAGTATGAGTTTTAATATGACTTGTTAAATTACCTTTTTGAATAGTTCTAAATTGGCATATTTGACACTTATACCATTCGACATTTTTCAATTTTAAACAAACTTTAATATGATTCTCATAAGTTGTTTTATTTAGAGTTGAATATGTACATTTAGTGCACGCATGGATTTTACTTGTTATTTTTATTTTATTTTCCCCTACATTTTCTATTTTATGTTTGCTTAGAATGTGCCCATTTAAAGTATGTAATTTGGCAGTGATAAATGGACAGAAATGGCATTTAAAACAATTTTTTTTATAGTGAATTTTTAAATGTTTTTTTAAACTACCTTCGTTTAAAGTTGTAAAATCACATTTATTGCATTTTAATTCGTCTTTTAAATGAAAATTCTTTTTATGATTTAATAAACTCCCCTTTCTTTGATATATTTTAAGACAAAAGTCACATTTAAATAACTTTATCTTGCCACTCATATCACTACATTGAACCCCATGATATTCCACCTCGATTTTCGTCTCAAACATGGCGTCATCCTCATCTTTATCTTCATTGTGTGTCGAATTTTGATCATCTTCTTCAGAAA